CTTGTCGTTTCCTTCTGTTCCGAAGACGAGAGAGGTGCGTCACGAGCGCACGCTTGTCGTTTCCTTCTGTTCCGAAAACAAGAGAGGTGCGTCACGAGCGCACGCTTGTCGTTTCCTTCTGTTCTGAGGACAAGAGAAGTGCGTCACGAGCGCACGCTTATCGTTTCCCTTCCAGGATACACGAGTAAGAGAGGTGCGACTTGATTGCACGCTTATTCTGTGTATCTGTTCCCAGGAAATATACCGTCCAGATACTCCGGCCCGTCAGAGAAGACGTGTGCGTCGAAGAGGCAGAAATTACCACCTGAGAAGTTTATTAAGGAATTACTCCCGCAACGGACAGTTTGACTCGTCAACGTTGGAAACAACCAACAAACGTCCGACAAATTCAGCAGGACATTCAGTTAGGTCCGCTCCGTGCATTATAACCAATATAAAAATTCTTAAAAATCATCTCGTAATTATTAAACCCGGGTGGAAACTACTAAAAATCACTAAGCCAAAAGTGGTGTATCCGGCAACGATTCCGCCATCAGATTTGCGATTTGAGGTTTATATAGAGAAAAGACGAGAAGCGTTGTATTCGAAAAAAGGAATTAATAATAAATAACTTTACTATTTTTTTAAAGTACTCAAGTCAGTAATTCCGCCGGTAACATACCCTGTAATAAACCAGTGGTCGGTAATCCAAAGGCAGTCGGTAACTGTCGGTAACCACACGGCAGTCGGTAACTGTCGGTAAACACACGGCAGTCGGTAACTGTCGGTAACCACAATCATTAACAGTCAGGAATAAAATACCAAACGGTTACAATCAGTCCAGTCATCTTCTTGACCAAAATCTTCATTCTTCGCCCTGGTAAAGCCAGGACGGTTGACCATAAAGGGAGAACGTACGTTCGACAAGAGTAAACGGTTTCGTCAAACCGTGACCTTGAACACTCGGACGTAACATTTTAAACTCGTTGGTTGCGTTTGCGCGAAATCGGGTATTGAGCTCGATGTACCCGCGCAGTCAAGGCGATTGCGAAAATCGCAGCACCTTATGTATTTGCGTCAGGTGAAGCTCGTGTCGCAGACACTGCTGCAGGTTGAGGTAGTGAATCACGTAGCGCTTCTTGTCGAACACTGTGGCGAGCAGTGTGAAATGACTCATTTTATGTTTACCAGACGGCTTCTCGCGCGTCGGACAAAAGAGTAGATTTCTGTGCGCGTCGTGCAGTTCTTTCAAGTACATCAGATCCACCTCGAGTATGTAGCCGACGTCGCTGTCCACCGCGACTGTTGATACATCAAACTTGTACGCGTTCTCCACCCATGTAAAGGTACCGTACGGAAGCGGTTGACACATCGCTCATCCGTAGATATTGTTCACGTTGTAGTACATCAGATACGTCGACGATGCGGACGGGTCGTGCAAACGTGCGTACTTGTTGTTCGCGCGGGCGTATCTGTTTGAACATTGACTCAAACCGCTGCGTATGCCGCATTCCACGAAAATCACCATGTCGATATCGGTCAGCAGCTTGAATGCCACACAAGTGTACTTGAACATGGCGTCTCATGTATATCCGGGCAACGTGTAGTAGTGCGCGGGATCCAGTCCGTAACTCGCGAGGCACTCGCGACAAAAATTTTCAAGTACATCGGACAGCAAAAGTACGTTAGTCTTCAGATATAGATTACTGTATGATACCAGATTGTCGATGTTGAATTGTCGCCATACATTTGTCGCGTGCGCGTACTCGCTCTCTGTCACGGTCTCACCGGTGAGCAAACTGTAAACCGCTTCATGCAGTGGCAAACTGGTTTCCAACAGTTTGTCGATGCTGTCCACATATTCGTATGGAAACACAACTTTTCGCGTGAGCAGTTCGAAGTCCTCGGCGGAGAGATCTCTGAATTCCATTCGAGTCACTTGCAGTTCCCTCTTGTCGAGATAAGACGCGAGCTTCTCTAAGCTTCTGCTCAGAAATTTGTATGAATCGATGAACCGCAAATTGCACGCAGTTATGTATGTCTTTGTCTCGAGTACTGTTCACATGTTTTGTGAACAATATGTAAATCTCTTCCGTCAAGGGGAGCATGGTGGTCTCACCCTTGAAAGCGGTGGCCATATCTTTGATAATAAAATGCGCGTCGTACTCCGACAAGTTGTAGAACACAATGGGAACAACGTAGACCTGTTTGATTCAGATTGCACGCAGAATGCGCGAATCTTCTGAAGCGTCCCGTCAAATGACAGTGGTCGCGCAACTTTTTGTCATCTTGCTCGAACGGTTGTTTGAACACGTGGCAATATTTGGCGTTCCCAAACCGCTTCACTTCCAACGGTGTGGAAATCGCCATAGGCACGTTTTTTGCAAACAATGTCTTTGCACGTTTCGCCAGATTGTGCAGTTTATTCACGAACCACTGCACGCAGTTCTCACCTCTATAGGATCTGTATCCGATGTTGATGTGCGCGCAGTTCACGTAGTAACCGATGCTGAACACACTGTGTCTTTGGTACTTGTGCGAGCTTGATGCGTTCTGCTCTTCGTTCTGTTTTTCGAATACGCACTCCAAGTCGGCGTGTACCACCATTGGAACACGTTCCTTGTTATAATTCTTAAATCTCAAACGGTTTTTTCCCTTAGCGGAAAGAATAACTGCGCTGTCATTCAATCGTTCACAGTCCACGATGTGTTCTGGTAGCTTTTTGCTTGTGTGGAAGTAGTGTAGACATCTATGTACGTGTTGCAATAAAACTACAATACACACAACATTGATTAATAAATTTACCATCTCACAATTTAGAAGATCACTTTTTATTCAACGTTTTTGTTACTGTTGCAACAATCGGTCGTACTTACCGGTCGCATATGTACTTCGCTGTCTTCTTTTTGCTCAATTGCGAGCTAACCAAACGCGATAAATTTTTTATCCATGCAAAGTGTCTCACGTGTCCATCTTGTTAATCAGGAACATACAATGGATTCACATACTTGTTCTTCTTGTTTGACGTGAAGTGCAACGGCACGTATCCGTGTCCCTGTTCTGCCGCCGTAAACACGTTTACGGACACGTTGTTGCGTTCGAAACGAGCGACTTGGTGCAATGTGATTGGAAACTCTATTTTATCAAAGTTCAATACACTTGCGTACGCGGAATACTGCAACGGTCGATTAAAGTGTTTGACACTTGGATACAACGCGGCGACCACTGCTCACGCGGAACACGCATTGTCTTGCGATTGTACGTTCACTACCGCGTGTTTGAACTGAACTTTACGCGTTATCTGGACCTGACATCGCGCACGCATGAAATTATGATTGTTCACATTCACTGTAAGATTCAGTATTTGCACCAACGCCCAGCCGCTGTCGCGTTCCTGGGACTCCTCTAGAGCGGTCATTGTTGCATCCATTACGTCTTGATCGTACCACACCCGCAGATCCGACGCGTGATAGAGTTTACGATTGCGCGTATTGAACGATTTCACACTCGTCTTTTCACCCGTGACAACCTTTCCGTTGAACATTGTGTTTACTTTTACACTAGCGTGCCGCGCGATTGCTCGACAAACGCGCGCGAGCACCGTGTCTCTAGCGGCTTCGAGTAATCAACGAGGTTCGATGAACGACTTGTTCATCACGATGTTGGTCACCAAACGATTTGTAAGCGCTGTCTCGACTTTGATCCATGCAAGTCCAGCACTTTCGACACCCGCAATTACATGCGCGAATCGTTTGCGAAGGCCCGCGCGCAGATTTTCGAGTCGCGAAATCTGAGCGATGTGCCAATTTATCACACCTGTGTATAGTCGCGGGCGTTTTCTTCAGCACTCTTCTCTTAGCGTCTCTAGACGATCGTCGCACCGTTGCTCCCACGAGATGTAACCATTCAACGTGTTGAGGAGCGCGGTCTCTTCTTCAAGCGGTTCGCGATTGTTTATGTTTACAATTTCCGTTGTCTGATCCGATGCATTGTTGATTTTGCATTTTGGCTTTCGCAACACACGCGCGACAATATCTTTTCAATGAGGCTGGTCCATCAATGTGATCGTAGTCTTTTGGTTGATTGTAATGCTCGAGACATCTGCGATACAGCTGCACCTCGGGATCTTTCTTCAAATGCTCAGACAATCGGTCCCACAAAAGCTCCACATAATTATTGACCACTTCTAGAAGAATCCTCTTTGAAACGTTTTTCAACTCTTTGACCGACAGGTGTAAAATGCACGTCGTGTCCACTCCGTTAAATATTTCAAAAACGACAACGACGACTTGTTATCTATACGGATTGCAATCTCTAGAACTTGCGATGTCGATTGATTGCGATCAAAATAACTTGTGACTCGCTCCATAACTCGAAGTGCCTTTTTATTTCGCTCTTTATCTTTCTTCGAAATCTTTAGATTTAAAATTGCAATTTAAAAAAACCACATCCGGTAAGTAACGGTTTTTTACGCGCGCAACGGAAGTACGTAGAAAAATTACATCCGGTATGAAACGGTTTTTTGTACAAATGTTATTGCAGGAAATGACTCATCAAACCAAAAGTGATCCATTGCTTTAGCGATAAGAAAAGACGCACTTCCAAAAAAAAAAGTTTGGTTTTTCTTGGAATTAATTAATTATTAATATTTTACTGCGCAGTTACAAACTGCGCGCTATTTATTTTTAAACGCGCACCGCTTCTGGGAAATTGCGGTTTTTCTCGGAATTAATTATTTTACTGCGCAGTTAAATATCTAATTGAGAGGTAATATTATTTTAGCGATAACAACACCATCCAAACGACCTTGAACACGTTCGGACCTGTTCGAGTTCTATTTTTAGCAATGACGTCATCATCCGCAACAACCTTGAACACGTTCAAACATGCTCACACGCGTCCACGCCCGCTCCAAACAACCGTGAACATATACGACAAGTTCGAACACGTTACGACCGATGACGTCAACGATAATGTGTTACGTCCGAGTGCTCAAGGTCACGATTCGACGAAACCGTTTACACTTGTCGAACGTACGTTCTCCCTTTATGGTCAGCCGTACTGGCTTTACCGGGGCGGAGAATGAAGATTTTGGTCAGGAAGATAACTGGACTGATTATTACCG